TGACGAAGTGGCAGAACCCTGACGCAGCTGCTTGATCCGGGTCGTAACAAAATTGAGGACTCTGGGGTTCTAAGTACCACCAATCCGGCATCTGATACTTTGTCTGTATAAAGAAACCCATTGAACTAATAATGGAGACTGCGAGAAGAGTAGTGAGCAGAACATAAATGATGCGGTCCATCTTCTTCTCGACGCTGCTTCGCTTAGAAGGGGACTTAGTCGAGTTTTGCATGACCTTGCTGTCCTGACCAGCGAAAATTACCACACCATAAATGTAAGCCGTATTCCTCAGTTTCGAGTCCCTGAGAAGGATTTGGCTCGGATCCAAGGGATAGATTTGCCTGTCGTACTCCAAATTACCCACGAAAGTGTAAAGACTAGGATTTGGGTCTTCGCATCTGATCACTCCAGCAAAATCTTTGAAACTCTCATCACTATCTAATGGTAAGGTGACCTCCTGCGATCTCTTCACCTTCAAGTTCGTCTCGCCATCTAAATTCATAGTTTCTACATAGCAAAGGCCGTCCTCATAACTGGACGACAGCAGAAGCAAGTCTGCGGGGAAAAATTTATCCTTCTCCACTTTCACAACATCACCCACCCGAATATTCCGCCACTGCTTACGACCAAAGACGCCGCCTCCTTTATGGACACTAGCCTTGCGGGCATTAACCTTTAAGTCCTGAATGAACCTGCGCCAATCTTCTATGGCCTCCTTCGCCATACTAACCCCAAGAACGAATGCCAGAGGGGCGATCATGCTCAATGGCGTGAATGGGGAGAACACAAAGAGAGAGCAGATTGCAGCAACAAGGAAGTATATGTTGGCAACGCGGCGGAATTGCTCGAAAAATGCTTTCGGCAGGAACGTGATGACATTGTACCTGGTCGTGGATATATAATTCGAGGAGTATTTGAGAGGCTTCTTCTTGTGCAAATGGGATGCATTGCAATGCACAAGTCTCGAGTATCCAGGGCCTTGGATAGAGTGTGGTTCATCGCCCTCAACAGTGCTCGGGCGAAGGCATGCAAACGTGTAGAGGTGGCTCCGGCGGATCCTTGCCCTAGTCCGACCACGCGCCATCCTTGGCTACCTCACCTCATTCAAACTGCTGTCCAACATGTCTTAACCAAAGCAGTCGACACCAATATGAATAGCTCATGGTGCTTCCCAACGTAATGTCCCAACTCAGCAACTAAAAGAAAAGATGTGATGAAGAACCTTTGACAGTGTTTTCAAAGACTTTCCACATGTAGAATCACAGTACCAGTTCCTCCTTCTTCGGCCTAACAACAAAGAATGATCATTTCGTTAACATTGGCACATTGGGCAATAAACTTGATGATCACCAACACGCTAAACCTTATCCCATTAAAATTGAAAAGAGGAGCTCCTGTTCGAAAAAGATATCGAATTCCATATTCTTGCATAGCCAAGATTGAATTTTTTTTCTTTTTCCTCGATGTATGAACAATTGGGTTTGGGAATTCAAAAGAAAACTGATTTCACATGGCCAATTATGTACAGGTTTTTGACAGTTTCTTGCCTTAGTATATAGAATAATGCTCATGTTGAGAACCGAAATCACAAAACATTGTCTCGAATTCACCACAGTTCTTCTCCCAAAAAACACATATCCACACGCAATATAAACATTCTGAAATTCAAGAAAACCCAGATAGATATAAGAACAGGAGAATTCAGCTAAACCTGACGTGCAAATTGGCGAGAAAAGTGCAACCTTTTCATCCAAAAAAATTCAAACGCATTTCAGATGCCTAAAAATCTCGAAGAACACGTTAACAAAAAAGCTAAAATAGGAGAAAAATCACCTGAAATCAGGAAGTCGATATCGCCATTCCCAGCCAAAACAAACCCACTTGAGAAATCACGTAATTAGAGAAGACCAATGACAGAAAACTCAGCTTATTGCAGATCAATTGCAGGGGGGAGAAGATCAAGAGACAAAGAGTTAGAGAGAGAGAGAGAGAGAGAGAGAGAGAGAGAGAGAGAGAGAGAGAGAGAGAGAGAGAATGCTAAAAAAAAAAAAAAAGAGACGATGGCTAATCTAAACCATAAACTCCCTACATTTATGTTCTCGTCAGCCATCACTCACTCTGTTTCCTAATATGTCACTATTTATTATCGTTGCGCATTCGTTTCTTGAAAAGCCAAGATTGCAATCTTTGCATGCCAAAAATGACCTGGCAAAGGGCATGAGGAATAACAGCCAGCCAGGTTGAGAAGATAGACACCAGCGTTTCCTAACCTCACCATGCATTGATATAGGGGTCTTATTTTCGTATGGAGAAGACTTCTGTTTGCCCATGGACCGACTATCTTACAACTTATGAGCTCGACATGCTTGGCAACTGCGGAGCACGCGATTCGATTCGATTCGATGGAAAGTGAAGTACCTTATCGGGGCTTGGCGAGAGGACAAATCCTTTGATTCTTCAATTTCGATGGAATTGGAAGGCCCACGGGTCATGAACTTCTTTTCTCCCGGACAGGTCTGCACCATCTATCCTCTTGAGGAGAGATTCCCCTTTCTCTATGTTATGGCCCACCGTTTTTATCACTAAATCGTGACACTCATGTAAAATGATTTAGATTTAAAAAAGTTGTGTTCGTGTCTATAAATTTGCTTGCTATTGAATGGACCAAACCCACGTGAACTATTGATTGAATCTTTAGTAGACTGAAATTACGTTATAAATTTGATGCATTGAAGTGTTTTTCCTTTTCAAGTAAGGTCTATTTACTGTGAGGTCAACTAATATCAGTAGTATTTTCGAACAAAAAAAAAACCAATATCAGTAGAAATTGTTGGGAAAAATTATTATTTAGTAGCAGCCAGAGAAAAAACATAAGTCTATCGCTCCTATGATAAAGGGAATAAAATAAATCAAATCATATATAAATTTGGCTAATTCACCAATTTAACATATTCATACCCAACGATTTTCCATAAAGTGGTGACGGAAGGTTTAATTTGTACAAATCTTCCCATTTTACAATCAATCTAATCCATTAGTTTGTAGAATTATTTACTCGATCGCAGACATTTATGAAGCACTTTATAAAGACAAAAAAAACAAAGTCTGTGGCTCCTACGATACCGGGTGTACGATAAATCAAATCATATACAAATTTGGCTATTTCACCAATCAAGTCACAAATATCTAACATATTCACACCCATCAATTTTCCACATAGTGGTGACGAAAAGTTTAACTTGTACAAATCTTCCCATTTTACAATCGATCCGATCCAATCCATTGGTTCCTAGAACTATTTACTCGATGGCGGACATTTCTGAAACACCTCTAATATAAGGATTCATACCTTATTTCTGGTTAGCACCTCCACCAGGACCACCACTTTTCTAAAGACAAAAAATTAGATATTTACCTAGTACTTGATTAGATTTTACTCAATCCAGCCTGGCTGCTTTTTCGTATTTCCCCTTTTTGGACTTTAGAGAGAGCACGAACACACAATAAGACATTAACAGGAATGGCAAATGAGACTTACAATTTGACAAACGAATCATTCCTTTTATCCTGACATGCTTTCGTATCTTATGGGGTTGGCTTAAAAGGGAAAAGGGGGAAGAATGGACACAATTCTCACACAATTTCCCCACTTGACGGTGGCTCAATCTCAGTGAGTTGAATCTCTTCTAGTGATGGAGACCCCATATGGTCCACATCTGTCTCCCTTTAGTAGAAATATTCAAGTGAAGAGCCCCATCACTTTGGCTTTGTACTTGACTGGACCAGGAGTTTTGACCCGACGGCTCTCTTTCATTTCAAAATCCTACTCAGCTCTGCCATTCCACCAGCCGACAGCAGTATCTTAAATTCCTCCGAATGATGCGATAGCATAAACAATAAGAAAGATTATTCCTTCAGGATTCTGCTCAGGAATTTACAAGTGAACACGAAAATAATAAACGCACAAGCTGTATTAGGCTATTAGCCGGTCAACACACATTTGATTTGGGCCGTCCAGAGTTGAATAAAAAGCACCATGTGACAACAAGAAATCACAAATCAAAGTATGGGACAAGTTAAATTAATCAAAATGCATTGACAACCCTAAAAGAGATTTGATGACTTGAGTCAACTGCTGAGTGCTGAGCGACTTCTCATGTACAGGAGAATTTAGGTATGGTTATAGACCGTGTGGACAATGGGTCAACTTAGTTTGCACGAAGGGAAATATGTACTATCCCATTCAAAGAAGACGAGCGGAGACTTTCCTCTAAAAAACAGGGAGTTCCATGAAGCACGCGCAAGGTAGGCACAAGGATTGAAGAATGCTGAACCATATCATGCACTCCATTGCTACTCTTTTCACAGCATTCAAGATGACAATGAAGCAGTGTGAAGCCGAATCACCGCACCACCATCCTCACCCAGACCATATTTTCATCATGTAGCCCTTGTTTCCATCGAGAAGACTTGTGCACATGAGTCTAAATGATAGATTCCATTCAGTCTACATGTAAGCCAAAACATATATGCGCTCTCCATCAACCGAGCGAATCTTCAAGCATTCGAAAAAGAAGCTGAAGTAAGCTGTCCAGAGCATTAGAGTAACCTAACTCAGTAATTCATCTTACTCCAGGCAGAAACTTTAACACAACTAATTTCCCCAGTTCCAGGGCTTGCCTGCTAACCGCCAATGCAATTCTAACCTGGGAACAGATGGTCATACATGCTCAATCATCACGACCACATCCTTTGTGGCTGCCGCAGCAGTGTCAGGTTAAAAGGTCGATCCGTGAAGCAAAATAATAAGTATTTAAGTAGTCATTTTTTCACGGATGCCTGCACGACCAACTTGTGCAACCAGCAAGCCAACCAAAAGTATGGGTTACAAAGAGGAATATGGAGTGTGGTAAAGAAAAAGAGGAATATTGAGTTAGATAGATGCATTCTCAGATTTAAGCCCGAACCTTGTGAATAAAGAAATTATTTGCAAGGAGCCATAGATAATGTCATTCACCTTCCATGATTTATTCAAATGCAGCATATCCAAGTACCGAGGATTCCATGTAAATGAAAGGATCGAAATACAAACAAAAATTTCTAGTCGATCTATATTGTTGATTCGCAACTTCTTCACAACTAAAAGGAAACACCGATCAGCATGAATGTTCAGCTCCTCTCCTTCTTTCAACATGTCCACGAGTAGAAGATACCTCGACCGTACTCGATCTTCGCGTGACAGATGCTTCAAGAGTACTCTTGCTGATTCGCATCATTTGTGACCATCCGAATCTTTCTTGGGATGGATGACCCCAACGAGGGCCTCGATCTCTTCTTTCGCACGCTCGAAAACACTCGGCCCCTTGACTTCGTCAACCGGCGTGTTCTCGTCAATGTCGTCGCTCATCCCATGAGTTTCCTTGTGGTGGTGCGGCGATCTGTTGGCGTGGAACACTGCCTCGACCTCTTCTTTAGCTCTTTCAAATATGTTTGGAGCCTTGACATCTTTCCCTTTCATATCAAAGAGGCAAAAGCAATGGAAATTGTGAAAAACTAATGTATCAGATATAAATTACTTTGGGCTTCTCTCATTTGTAGGGGAGGGTAATGCAATTAATCTGGAATCAAATTTCTCAAAATCCACAGGAAGGATGAATTCTTACACGTGTACATCAACTCTTTTTCGAATTCATTTCCAAGAAGAGTATTTCTACTGCAAAGAAATGAACAGAACACGCGAAAAAAGCGATTTTTCTTCTCCTTTTCAGCTAAAAATTGCCAATTTGAAGACTTCATAGAAGCAAGAACCTGTGATTGCATCGAGGCGAACCACAAGGAAGGATGAATTCTTACACGAGTACATCAACTTCTTTTTTTTTTCAATTCATTTCCAAGAAGAGTATTTCTACTGCAAAGAAATGAACAAAACACGGGAAAAAAGCGATTTTTCTTTTCTTTTTCAGCTAAAAATTGCAAATTTGAAGACTACATAGAAGCAAGGACCTGTGATTGCATCGAGGCGAACCACAAGGACATGAATTTCAACATAAACGCAACGATCGCTGTGAATTCGAAGGCACAAACTCTTCCGCGAACAAACGACAGAGAACAAGAAACTTCAGCTCATACTCGACGCATCGGCGAAGAATAAGTAACAAATTTAAGATTAAAAATAGATGCGACACGACCCAGATAGAGTAAGAACCTGATGATGCGTCACTGTGATCCGGTTTTGCTGATTCTGCCATTGGAGCTCTGCGAGCAAAAAGAAACAAGCTCGATCTGAACCTCGCCGTAACTTTCATTAGGGAGGCGGATGGATCTTAGTGGGCTGTGGGCCTTTTGACGGCCCAATTGTTGGCCCAATTTCTTGAAGCGCTAGGCGAAGAATTGGCAGGAGTCCTTGGAAGACCCGCATGGTCGGAACAGCTTCAAACTGATGAAAACATGACAGAGGTCGACGCATGTGTTCTTGATGATAAACACTAAACAGGTACGTTAAAACAGAGTAGTATTGCGCAGTAGGTCACGGGCTCTTGCAGCATCAAGACCAAAACCGCAGATGCCATGCATCCTTAGGCGACCGGAATTGATCCGACCCGATAAGGTCGGTAGTGTTTTCTAACGTCTACTACATGCCGCGACCCAATTTGACTCGACTCGATCGAAGTTAACGTGTTTTAGGACGACGGGAACTACAGATATGATTATGATCACATTAACACGGATTTCTAGCCCTTCTTGACAGAAATCATAGCTGGGTAGTTTCCTTTGTTTATCATGATAGTTCTCCTTCTTGACAGAAACTAGAGTTGGGTAGTTTCTTTCGTTTATCGTAACAGTTCTTCAGTCTCCAAAGACTAAACATGGCGTGTGTAAGGCTTTCACTGTCACCTCTCTTTCCCCTGAATTGCTTCAAAGGCTCACCCTCAGGTCATGGAAAGACTTCCCCCCGCCCCATCCATCTTTTGCTGGACAGGAACGGTCCCGTCACGAACTTTCTCTCTCTCTCTTTCTCTTAGATGTCCGCATCGTTGAACGTGACTCCATAGGGTCACAAAGAAGATAGAGTTTTGACCGCAAACCACCCCAAAATCCAAAAAGAAATCCCCCTCGGGCGTTTCTTTCGGCCACGGGACGCCGGTGGGTACGTGCAACTTTCGTCCTCATAGCGTGTGGAAACAGACACAAATTAAACACGACACTATGCGAAAAGGGGAAAAATGCCCTCCACTTGCCTTGACCCCCCAAGAAGTTTCCAACCATCTTGTTGTCTCCTCCTCCCCTCCTGCTCGAGCTGAGCGGATCCGTCTGTCAGAAGTTGGACAGAAATGGCGAGGGTGACAGCGACCTTCTGGTCCTGGTGTTTGGGTCCGATACGCATACGAATTACGTAATATAGCGATAATGACACAAACAGTCCCTGAACTTTGACTCGATGTGCAATTTGATCCCTGAACTTTTAATTTGTTCAATGTAGTCCCTGAACTTTAACCTAATATTCAATTTGGTCCCTGAACTTTTAATTTTTTCAATGTGTTCCCTGAATTTTTAATATGTGTTCAAATTAGTCTCTGAATTATATGAAAATGTTCAATATAGTCCATGCACTTGAATTAATGGAAGGACTACATTGAATATTTTCAAATAGTTCAGGGACTAAATTGAACACATATTAAAAGTTCAGGGATCACATTAAACAAATTAAAAGTTCAGGGACCAAATTGAACATTAGGTTAAAGTTCAGGGACTACATTGAATAAATTAAAAGTTCATGGATCTAATTGTACATTGGGTCAAAGTTCAGGGACTGTTTGTATCATTTTCCCCATAATATATTATCGTCGCGGCGAGATATCTGGATTCTGGATGCACATCGCGACACGGGGAGATCAAACATGGAGTGTTGTAATCGCGAACGGATAAAAGGAATCTCCTTGGGAATGCCACCCCCTTCATCGGTGTCGCCATTATGTTACGTGGTTGACTCATTGCTAGCTATCGATGTTTCCGTCCGTATAGGCAACGACGATAGCTCCAACCTTGTGAGGGGGTTCAACTTTTTGGACAGTGTCCATCATGCAGTCACAATCCAACCAATTCTTTTGTTTGAGCTTTTTGTTGGAGATCGATGCTTTTGTCATCAATTGGAGAACGAGAGGGGATAGGGAGTGTGTGTTTCCAATCCAAATCTTAAGTACTTATTTTTATCGCCCCAGATCGACCAAGCCCAAGTTTTTCTTCTTCTTCTTCTTTTTTCTTTTTTGCATCGATAATGTAGGGATACTGACATCGAGGCCCGGCTATCTGGAGATTGAGGGATCACTATGCGAACCCCATGAGCCACTTAAGTCCGAGCCTTTGACCCATTCAAATAGCCCTGACCTGCAATATTGCATGTAGTTAACGAGATTTGTGCATATGAGCTCCAAATCTCGAGCTGGAAGTGCCTTGATACCATAACCAGCTGTGCCAATCTCGGGAGTTGAGTTATCATTTATTCGAACAAATCGGAAAAATCGATCCATACCAACTTGGTTATTGCGCTTTTTTCCCAGTAATATTTGTAATTTTGCATTTGTCGAAATTCAATCAAATCAATTGAGAATCTAATCGCCGGCGTAGTGCGAAAATTGGCGGCCAAATCACCCAAAAAAAAAAAACCCCCACAATCTTTCACCTAGGGGACAATAATACCCTCACTTTTAAACGACCCTGTAAAATTACGAATTTTTTATCCTAGAGACAAAAAAAAACCCACTTTTAAGTTCTCCATCCATGCAAGCCGATGTTGCGTGTGATGACATGGCTAACGGCGTTGTTGACGTGTAGCAAAAGACACGTCTGCAACAGCCAAAAGGCGACAGACACCCGTTAACAAAATCCTTCTACATAATTTCTCTGAAATATCGTGGTTTTTATTTTTCTTAACCGGCACTTATATTTACTTCAAATACTTTTTTGAGAACGCCACTGCTGCTCTTATCTCTGTTAATTATGTTTCTCTAAGACGTCACCGCTAATCATGTCACGTGCCGTGGGAATTTGCTTGGATAAAAAAAAAAATTAACAACCCCTTTATTTTCGATTATATTTTGTACATTAAAATAAATAAAGAATTATGTAGAAAAAACCTCACGATCCATGATGTGGGTTAGGTTATTTCGATTTTTTTGACAACCATGACTTGATCAAACTAAGTTCCAAAGGCATCCTACCACCCCAACCGAAGTTTCGTACGTACCTAAACCGAAGCAAATTTACTTTGATTATTTCTGTCCACTTGTAGTTTCTTGGAAATTATATATATATATATATATATATATATATATATGTATATTTCCAATGTACATGAGCTACAATTCATAGTTCAAGCAGTGCATTCACATCCTTGTCCCCCTTTTTCCCAGCTAAAATCAGACCGCAAACGAAGTCATTACGCGTGGTCTAGAAGTTGCATGGGATGTCGTCAACCAAGTATATAGACCTCCCTAAAATTTCATCATTAAACGATAAGGTAAATGACATTCGTGCGGAAGATGATTGACTTGTTCAAGTACCTTATCGAAACTTGCCAATCACGGCGTGCGCCCAGAATTTCTCGCACGATAGTTCGTCTTCGTCGTGGTACGTAAGATTTCGTATCTTCATTTTAATAAATACGAAAAGGGCGAACTTGGCACGCGTCGAATTTGCCGCCACAAAATGGAAAAGAACATTAGAAAAGAAGAAGAAGAAAGAAGAATAGATGAAAGTGAAGACTAGAGACAGGAGAAAATGGCGAAATGTTGACCGGTCCCCTTTGACGAAATCTCACCAAACGCTTTGACCCAACAAATTGGCGGAGATTATGTTTTACGATAAAGGATACTTGTGGAAAGAGATCACCCTTTGAAGGCTTCTTTCAAGGCAATTTCTCGTAAGGAATTATTATTAATTGAGCAAAATTACATATAAAAATTCTCTAATTTCTCTCTTAGTTTTATGTTTTTCCAATCCTCTACTTTTAAAATTTAACACTGCAAATTTGCACATTTCGGAAAAAAAAGTATGCGTTGTGCCCTCTTAGAAATTAAGTGAATTGAATTTTAGATTTAAGAATTTCGAAATGCACAAGGTACGAAATTTGAAATTAGAGAACGCAAAGATGAAAATGGGGGATTTTTTTTGTAATTTATCATCTTTTATTAAGACATTCTCTCTTGTTAATCGATCAATAATTATAGCATTACACTGCCGGTGGGAAAAGTACTTTTTTCGCAAACGGTCTTTGTCGACCATTGATTTGTAAGTTAGCGAGAGATTCACATTATAGCCTCTCTTTACGCTGGTAGTACATGCTCTATTTTTTGTTAATACGATGGATCAATCTTTGGGAAAATTATCTAAAAAATCATAAATTTATTGCACTTTTACCGATTCAATCCTAAGCCTTTCAACTTTGCCAATTGAGCCATAAACTTTTTCATTTCTTCTCAATTGAGTCCATCCGGTCAATTTTGGCCGAAAATCGCTGACGTGGACGCCGGATGGCCACGTGGCGTTGACGTGGACATTTTTAAATAATATTTTTAATAATTTATTATTTATTTATTTATTTTTCCTTTTCTCTGTTTTTTTTTTCTGGATTTTGAAATTAGGGCCGGCGAGGGTGGCCGGTCGGCCGACCCTCACTGGCCGAAGCGAGGGCGCGTGAGCCCTCACCCAGATCCGACAAGGGTCGTGACGCCCTCGCCAGATCTAGCCAGGCGAGGGCTTGGCCGCCCTCACCGGCCCCAGGCGAGGGCATGGGGCCAAAGCGAGGCCGGCAAGTGCCTCGCCTGGGGCCAGCGAGGGCCACCAAGGCGTCGCGACCCTCATTGGATCTGGGCGAGTGCTCGCGCGCCCTCGCCCGTGGCCGGCGAGGGTCAGCCAGCCACCCTCGTCGGCCCTAACTTCAGAACACAGAAAAAAAAAAAGAGAGAGAGAGAGAGAAAAGGAAAAAAAAAAGAGAAAAAAACATAAAAAAAATTTTCATTAATTATTAAAATATTATTTAAAAATGTACACGTCAGCGCCACGTGACCGTCCGGAGTCCACATCAGCGATTGCAGGCCAAAATTGACATGATGGACTCAATTGGCAAGAAATAAAAAGGTTTAGGACTCAATTGGCAAAGTTGAAAGGTTTAGGACTGAATTGGCAAAAGTGCAATAGGTTTAGGACTTTTTTAGACAATTTTCCCGTCAATCTTTTTACCCGTCATTCTCTTCCGTAGAAGTTTCACTTCTAGAAATTTCAACATTTATTATTTCCATTAGGTCGCACTTTTAGTATATTCCTGAATATGCTCCTACTAATTCAAATGAATGGCTAATGAAAGGGATAAAACCGCAAACGCGCTTCTTTTTAGCGTATTCAATTTCCCTGTGTTGCTCGCTCGATCGATAATCAACTTCCGCCGTCGGCGGATTTTAACGACAAGAGTTGCTCTGGCCATTCCATGATCGAATTCTCGCATCTTCAAAAGAGAGACCTGATGACGCATGCGAGTAGCGCGGTCTCGAACACAACACGATCCCTCCGCACCCTTTTTTGGGGTTGCTTGACCAATTCTTGCACAAGAGGCTACGAAAGCGCCAGAACTGATTGAAATCTTGAATTGTCCATGTTCAAAACCACGAGTGGTGCTAGATTGACGTTACTAGTTTTTCCAGAACATCATGGGTTTGACGAGAGATGTAGGTGTTACGTGATGTGAAGTTCATATGGGAAAAGGGCGATTTGACAGGTAGATTGTACCCATTGTTGTTAAGCTATTTGCTACTTTTGTCACAACTTCGTGCGATGGTTTCCCCCCCCCCCCCCCCCATTGTGTTTCGTTTTCTACGACAAGGGTAGATTGGTAGAGAAGTCCCGACACATTTTGTCAATGAGAAAGAGTGGAATCAATGAAATCGGGGTGCGCATGACAGATACCGTCTATCGAGTTTAATCAAACCTCATCTACATGTAGATGGATTGAGCGGTTTACTAGAAACCATCTCGGTGGTAAACCAGTCATACGAGACGCGTCAGCCAATCAAATCTAAAACTTCAGACTTAAATTCGGTTCTTGGTCAATGCCGAATGCTCTTATATGTTCGAAGTAAAAACTCATTTTTGTTTTCGCCTCCTAAGAAAATCTTTAAAAGTCAAAACTTTCTCGCTTCAAATCTGAATGGGGATGGCAAGCGACTTGTGAGGTCGGATCTCTTACCGTTGAAAAATTTCTCGCGTAATCCGGATGAATGCGATGTACTGCAAAATACAGGATGTTACTAGCAATAGCTACACTTAAAATTTCAATCTGCTTTTGGCAAAAATGAAATCCACTTTGCATTTGATGAGTAGATTCACTGCAATAAAGCCAATGGCCTCCGCTACTTGGAAGTAAATGGCCTTTACCCGCACGGTACGAGGTTGTCTCACTGTAGTAAGCCCCCCCATCTAAATGCAGTGCCTTTTGCACGTACGTTGTGTGGTCCCCCACCTTCCAGTGGTTGGCTGGCTGCTTGTATAAAAGAGGACCTGGTCGGTTGAGAAGAATTCATAGACATACGAACATTTATGTTGTAGTTGGCCGAACAACACTTAGCTTTTTGCTGTTTGAGCCTTGTTGAGGTAACACTCTCTCTCTCTCTCTCTCTCTGACATGGCTCATTCACTTTCTGGTTTTTCAGACTGTGTTCATTGTATCTGTGGGTGGTTCTTATGATATTGTTGCCTCCTGGTCTGCTGAATCATGCAGAAATTTATCTTCTTGGCTTTTCGGATTTTCTACTCATAGAAGGGATGTTGTGCTTTTTAAATATCTCATTCGAGTAATTCTGAGATTCCAAGAACTGCAAAAAGTCAATGAGATTGCTCAGTCAGTCTCCATCTCTTGTCCTTCTGGTGCAAAAATGCAGAGTTTTCTTCTTGCTGCATGCGTTCGATGAAAATGGTGGGACATTACGAGACAGAATTCTTGTTCAAATGAAGAGGTAGATCAAATGGCGATGTCCGCACTCTGATCCAGTAAATAAGAACTGAGATTGTTTGTTATTGATTCAGATTGAATTCCGGGTCAAAATGTTCTCTTCAATCGTGTCAAGGTCGTGACTTTGAATTTTTCATCAGATGGCAGTATGGCACTCTGCATCTTTCATCCTTTAAATCTTGAAGCGCTGATCACACAATTTGAAATTTTGAAATGCAGACAGAACAGTGGTAATAGAAGTAACCTCCCACGGCCTACAAAGCGGAATTCGAAAAGATGACACGGAGAGTGATTAGCTTCGGCAAAAGGGCCTTGGATGGAGCGAGCAGGTCGGATGATTCCAAGGAGAAGCACCTTAAGAGGCAAAGGTCTGAGAAATTAGAGCCCAAGACTAAAGTTCTGTTGAAGTGCATATGTTTAGAAGCGAAATACTCCCGTGACAAGGGCAAGTTCATCGACGTATATTATTCCAACGAGACAATATCGTCCAAGGATTCAGTTTCTCCAACACCGGCCAATGAACTCAATGCGGCTGCCGTTATGCTTCAGAAAGTTTACAAGAGTTACAGAACAAGACGGACCCTTGCAGATTGTGCAATTGTCATTGAGGAGCTCTGGTAAGGCCTAGTTGATCTTGACTCGCAGTTATGTTCAAAGGTTTAAGCCACTTTTTATCTTTTTTGGGTTGTGATGATTTTGTCATCATGCAAATGTCTCTGCTAATGTGTTGCAGGTGGAGATGGTGCGACTTTACAGAGCTTCAACAGAGTTCCATCTCTTACTATGACACCGAAAAGCCGGAAACTGCCGTTTCAAGGTGGGCAAGGGCAAGGACACGAGCTGCGAAGGTACTTTTCATCTTGTTCTTGCCATTTTGCACCCCATTTGGATTCAAACTTATCATTGAATAATCAATCTTGACTGCCGACCTGTTCCAATCTATATATGCTGCCCTTCTTGACCTTTTTAGCAGAAATTCCCAATCCGTTTCTCATTCTCATCCTCTCCTCCGTGTTAGAGACACTTTTTGATCTCTTTGTTTCTTCAACCTTCCCAACAACAAATGCAGAAATAAATGCAATTTTTTCTACTTTTTGTTTTTCCGAGGTAGTCGGTTGTATGATTCGGATTGGCATTTGCAGGTAGGGAAGGGTCTTTCCAAGGATGAGAAAGCTCAGAAACTAGCCTTGAGACACTGGCTTGAAGCTGTAAGCACCCGTTCTCAATGCCATATAGACAGCCTTCTTCTTTCCCTATTTTTGTGGGCTTTTTCGGCAGTCTCGAGAACGAAACTTACTGACACTAAATTACCACACATACTAACAAAATTACTGCCGAATCGACAATTACTGTCATGGGATATTATCCTTTGTCTTCGCGACTAGCAATGAGGACACTATTGATCAGATGACCTGAGTGGAACTAGTTCTTTTGAGAGAAGAATTTTTCCCTGATGAGCACTATGTTAATCAATACCAATAGCTTTTTTGACTAATTTTCCATGCTTTCTATACCATTGTCAACCATCTGATGTCATCAACCATGGCAAATGAAAACTTCTTATACCCTTTGAATTCAATTTCAAAGGTCTTGAATGCCTTTTATAGGCTGCTGATCTGACGTCCATCAAGTAAGAGGATGGATTAACCAACCATTGAACTTTTCTCATCTTTTTGCAGATTGACCCGTGCCATCGTTACGGACACAATCTACAGTTCTACTACGATGTCTGGTTTGCAAGTGAGAGCTCACAACCTTTCTTTATTGGTAAATCCTTGATAAACAACAAAGCTACAGTATGGCATACCGGGATCTGCTTCTAACTTTGCATCTGCAAAATTTAAAGGTTGGACATCGGAGATGGGAAAGAAGTGAATCTCGAAAAGTGCTCAAGAAACGCTCTTAAGCATCAGCGCGTCACATATCTTGGACCTGTAAGTACAGCAGAGTAAGGATTTAAATTGCTTTGACCAGAGAAAAGCTCCGTTTTCTGTAACCGAGTTAACAAATTAGCAGCTAAGACACTGATATTATGGCCAAACCAATGCTCCTTTTCGACACTATATTGTCTGATAAGTGTTTATGCTTCATCTTTCTCACAGAAAGAGAGGAAGGCTTATGAAGTGATCATAGAGAATGGGAAGCTTGTCTATAGACAAGGCGGCGTGCCTCTTAACACGGTGGAGGGATCGAAATGGATCTTTGTCCTTAGCACGTCGAGGAATTTGTACGTCGGACGGAAGATAAAAGGTCAATTCCAGCACTCCAGTTTCTTGGCGGGAGGAGCCGCCACCGCGGCCGGAAGATTGGTCGCGCATGACGGCATCCTCAAGGTACCCTTGACATCGACAGATACATATATATGACCGAAACAGCAGCTTCGATCTAAAGAAAACATATCGCTCGTGGCCGTCGATGTTCCTTATCATCTCTCATTTCTCTCGTATTGCAGGCGATATGGCCTTACAGTGGTCACTATCACCCAACAGAAGAGAATTTCATGGAGTTCATCAGCTTTCTTCGAGAACACGATGTGGATTTGACCAATGTCAAGGTAAATTCCTGACGTCTTGGGCATGAATTACGCAGCGGCTTCTTACTGAGCTAAACAATTTCTTCCCTAGTTTAAAACTCACGTCCATTCTTGTATGCCGCAGCGATGTGCGGCGGATGATGAGATTCCGCCAAAACTTACTCTTAAGGAACTGTCCGAATCCACTGAAGACTGTGACGACGAATCAACAGCAAGTCATGCAATCTCAAGCGCATACAATGACGCTCTCGACAGAACCAAGGCCGAGGGAGATAAACCGGTCTGTAAGTCAGGGAAGCCGCTGAGGCTGAAATGGAGCACAGGAGCGGGCCCGCGAATCGGGTGCGTGAGAGAGTACCCATCGAGCCTACAATTCCAGGCGCTCGAGCACGTGAAGCTATCTCCGAGGAGCCTCGGCGCCAACAGTTCCTTAACCTGTAACGGCCCTATCCCGTCGCCACGGCCCAGTCCTAGAATCCACCTCTCGCCTCGGATCGCCTACATGGGGTAACCAGCCCGCAGTGTGCATGATTCGCTAGATACTCCCTCAGGTTCGACGGATCAGCCATTTTGACGCGTTCCGGTCCCGGGGTAATTCATTGCAGAGATCAACACAGATTTACGCCTAACTTAAGTCCCAAACGGTACAGAATAACATGTTGGGGGACCATCATCACACGAGGCGGCGCACTTCTTTATTTGTTTATTTGTATCTTTCCTAAGATTTCACACTGCACAGGCGTTCCCATTGTCTAAAGAAACTTTCAACGAATCTTTTTCCTGATCTAACTCGAACGCGACGCAATCAAACTTTTTCCATTTTCGTAACTGCTCCGCGGGCGATGCCTTTTCCAACCTCACAACCAAACCATGTGGTGTGGGAAGAATTCAAAGACCACGCGTCGTCGAGGAGGAAACGCCGGACCAAATCTGATAATTTTGCATGCACGAACGAACAAACTCCTCCGACACCAATCAAAATGTCAGTCAAATGTCACCAACGTGTGGGGGGATCGCGCGGTTTTTCTTTTCTCGTTTCGTCGTCTTCCCACTTGGTTGAGGAAGACTGGCTAAAGGGGGAGTTTCCTCTGACGCTCCATCAACTTGTTCTCTCTGTTTCTTTTCTTGGGGTCATAAATTCGTAGTTGGAAGCACACCCACAATGACCGTCGTGGCCGTGGAATCTCTACTCCCATGTATCCTCGATTTACCCTGTATTGAAAGTGAAGAAAGTGAAGCTGAAAATGAAATGTACAAATATAAGTACGAAAGGTAATATTTCAATGATATATATATATATATATATATATATATATATATATATATATATATATATATACGGCACTCTCCTCTGCCACAAACAAGCAATGCATTAAAAAGATATGTCGATAAATCGATATTTCCTCTCGAAGAGGTAAGAAGAACGCCGCTACATCCGCGATGCGCACGCATGCAAGTAGTCCTAAAAGTTCAGAAAGGTCAATTTTTTTTCGTCCACCTCGTTAGATATAGAATCGAAGCTCGTGCTTTGGCAAAATCCCAAATTCCTCAATCCAATCCTATTACCTATCCCTTTACGCCCAAATGCAAACAAGACCACTCGTGTGGAGTGCACCGGCTCGTGTACTAGTAGTCTTAAAATGAATAGAAATTTAGGGTGCGTTTGTTTCACAGCAAACGTAATGTTTTTGGAAAATATTTTCCAAGAAATCATTTTCCAAAAAAACGGTTAATTTTTCTTTGTTTGGTAATATATGATCGAAAATGTTTTCTGGTGTTTGGATATTATTTGGAAAATGATTTTAATCTCGTGACTTTATTTCGGACAAAAAAAAATCAATTTTTTTATTTTTTATTTAAAAAAAATCGAATTTTTTATTTTTTCTTTTCTTTTTTAAAAATCGAATTTTTAATCATTTTTATTTTTCTTTTCTTTGTAAAAAAATTGGAATTTTTAATTTTTTCTTTTTCTTTTTTCTTTTCTTTCCTCTTTTTTTCCTCTTCCTTCGCCGCGACCAACCGGCGACGGCCATAGGCAAGCTAGAGGCTTGCCTGGCGATGGCCACAAGCGAGCTCAAGGCTCGCCCGGCGACGGCCATAGAGCTCGCCGGCCTTGCCAGAGCTCGGGCTCGCCTGGATATGGCGAACCGCGAGCTCGTCGGCCTTCGTCGAGCCCGAGCTTGACTCGCTTGGATCTGGGGAGCCGCGAGCTCGCTGGCCTCGATGGAGCTCGGGCTGACGAGCTCGCTGGCCTCAACCGAGGTCGGGCTCGCCTGGATCTGGTGAGCTGCGAGCTCGCCGGCCTTAACGTAGCTCGGGCTGACAAGCTCACAGCTTGTCGACCTCGACAGAGCTTAGGCTCACCTGGATCGGCCGAGCTTGCGAGGCTGGCCCACTCCTATGGTCAATTGCCGGCTCGACCGGCGGAAGGAGGAAGAAGGAAAAAGAAAAAAGAAATGAAAAAAAAAAGAAAGGAGAGAAAAAAAAAAGGAAAAAGAAAAGAAAAATAAAATATTAACAAATTTAAGATTTTCTTGACCAGAAAGTATTTTCGGTTGACCAAATTATTTTCGGATAACGAAAATGGATGAAAGTCCGAAAAACGCTTTCTTGGAAAACACTCTCACGCACCCTTAAAAGGCGTTGGCCTCTTTTCCAGTCAATGCATTCTATTTCTTCCATAGTGATGTCGATCATTACGGAAGAGAGCATCTCGGCTTGTCCCACAAGGCGATGCAACTGTATCGATAAGAAACGACTTGTCTTCATCATGTCTTTGAAACAAAGGAAATGACATCATGAGCTGACCCGGATTGGAAAAGTTCTGCTCCCGCCATGACAGAAGGGGGGAAACCAGACACGCACTAGATATTACTCAAGACTCGAAAGTCGGACAGATCAAATCATTCAAGTGTCAAAAACCAAAATGCAAAAAAGACCAATTTTTCTTCTCGCTAAAGTGACAAAAGAAAGCAACAGGAAAAGCGACAACAAAACAATCTTGGAAAACCACAGGGTCTGTATTTTGAACCCCTGTGCTCAAGTTCGGTCATGTCAAAAAAAGAAACTGCAACACCCACACAAACCCTACCCCAATAATTTAGCTGGCGAACAAGAACTTAGAAACTCTGACCAAAAAAAAAACAATAACTTAGAAACATATATTGAAAAAATTAAGCATATCTTAAATCAATTGAGAACTAGTCTAGCATTACAATCTCAGATGTATACAGAATTGCGTGTTCGCTGAATTTGGCAAATCCTTATTGCTCTCTTTGAAGCGAAGAGGAAACCCAGTCCGATGTAGCAGCTGTGGCATCTTCCTGGTCCTTTAAAGAAAGTGATAGAGGCGTGACCGCAACCTGTTATATCGGAAAGAAATTGAATGAGAAGAAGGTGGGGGCGTTTGAGGTGAGACATCCTAGCAACCAAGAATGTAGTTCATCTTTTCATTGTCGGCAGTCTAATTACAAGCATATTCACTTAGCCTCCGACTTAAGAAGGCCTTTTATCTTTCCATAGCATCCAATTGTATATAGTGGCAAGAGCTTCTTCTAATAGTCATATTCTGACATTTGTGCGGCAGGGGTGTCTGCTCATGAATGAGTGTCCTATTATGGATCGACTATGAAAAAAGATGTATGACATAATTATGCCACTGCAAATTGGATTGCGACAACTATAGCGTCCAAGCAAGTTCAAGGATGACCAGCAGAGTTCCAACCACCCAAAGTCTGTCAGAAAAGAAGATAACCCAATGGAGAACAGAATCAATCACAAATTCTTGATAGATGCACAGTTCCCAAATAGAGGCACAAAAGATTGTCAAGGCCTGCAAAAATTAATCCATGTCTTTTCAAGGTAGGCACCAAGATAAACTTGTCCACCCAATACCTTCATGCTGAACGCGGTCACATATTTCAAGTTTTAGATAGAACACCTGATTTGTCATAGCTACATGATCCTCTGAATTTTTATTTGCTTACCACCAAACATTTACAGCAGCAATTCACTCCTACCTTCTCAACTTCATCCATTTACCAAGATGTGATTAACGGATTGCTATAAGCCGCATATAACTTCTCACCACTAACAACAGTAATTACTCTGAATAAATCAAAGACTAAGTCCAAGGACAGGTTTCTTTCCCATTGATTAGGTGTCAAAAAATCGTGCATAGCCATGCTGGGACTTCAGTTAAATATTTCATTTGCACATTTTGAAGATCTCAAAGAAAGGAAGCACAATAGGAAAACTTACAAATCCATTCTCCAGAGCTCTGATATCCAATTCTTCATCTGCATCATCCTGCTCTCTGTGCATGAACTGTGTATTCCCACATACATAGACAATCAACATAACATGTCATCCACAGAGAACTACTTAACAGGAAACAAATCAGTTCAACGGCGCGGCATGGCCAAACTACCCAGATTAACAGGATCCAATTAGGAAAACTTTCGATATAGCCGTAAAAACACTGACTGACTATTTACGTTGTAGCAAGACAGACGGAAAAAAATGCTGTAAACTGGAAACCAGATAGCAAATGCAATTATCAAGCTACAATTTTCATGATTGCAAAATCTGCTATGCGTTTATAAATTACTTTTAGCTACAACAGAAGTTACTAACTTTGACTTACCTCTAATCTGAAGAACTTCTTCACTCGGTTTGTGTCGGGTTTCCCAGCAGCACCAACTGATTCTATCTCAACAAGACTTTTCCTTTGCGTTGTTAAACGCCGAGCTGCACCCTGAGAGGAGTAGTGGATGTCACAAGAGGTGAATCAAAAGGACACAGCCTAATTGCCCCCATAACAAAAGCATATGCGGTGATCCTCAATTTAAGGCACTCACAGCAGCAGATGCATCTCGACTAAGCTGCGCAAGTTGGATGCCAAGGCTTTGTTGATTGGACATGAAATGCCCAGAAGATGGATGCCTATTAGCTGAAATGGCTTGCCAGTTCAGAGTGGATCTCCATAAACTTTGCTTCGTAACTTTGAAACCCTGTCAACCAAGTTTAAATAGCATATAAACAGACTACCAATGCCAAAATTAATTGAAAAAGAGTCACAGTGTTGTTTTCCATGTTCAAACAGGCGTTGAAGGCCAAAGAAACATGCAAAAATACGATTACTTTTTTCTATCGCATATCAGGAAATGCAGAGACTACAAAGTTATGCAGCTACACAGGGAACTCTTTTTGTTTCATTAAAAAGGAAAGCCAAAGACAAAAGGACAAACTCAAAAGCATCAATATCTGAATGAGATCATCCTAAGGAACAAGTGTTGAAGATTAAATACTATATTGAGCTCCCGGAAACTGGAAGCCACGAGATTAATTGACTATCAACATCGACAAGGTGTCCCCATCCAAGAGTACCAAGAATTGCAGATCAAGTATGACAGCTGTCCAAGAGAGAATTGCAGAACATAATATAGTAGCACGACCATTTACCCTCAACATAATTAAAATTGAGGATAAGTTCTTTCACATGAACCTTGAGATCTTCAGCTAACTAAATATTTTTGCAGGTACTTTTTCGGGAATAATTATCAATAGATATATTTTTTCTACTCAACTGAAGAGAGACATTTCAGCTCTATAAATCCCTGAAGAGAGACATTTCAGCTCTATAAATCCCTATGCAGTAAGGTTTCCATGCTATGTATATGAGCATTCACAGGTTGCCAAATGTCAGGGAAGTCTGGGTGGATGCAGAGGTATAATTAGGAGTAGAAAGAAAATAAATTGATGTTCTGCTTCTGCCACCTATGAATTTTATAAGGTGATTAAAGTGCACGAAAAAGATCAAGTGACCTCGTAAATCAACTCATGCCAACAAAAGTTAAGAAGAGGCCACACATAATTGCAAGGTTCATTAGAGAACTTTAACTATCTGAATGTTTCAGGCCTAAGAATGCTACCTAACCCTCAGAGGCAGGAAGAGCATAAAATTCTGCAACAAAACAAGGACTAAACGCTATGTACCAATGCAGTCATTTCCGGAATTTGAGAATTTTTAAAAGTAGAAAAAGATGGCATTATTAAATGGAATCAATATGCACAAGTCAAAGCCAACCAATGTCATCTTATGCTCAGTTTTATATGTACAAGACAGGTAGCACAAACCATGCCAATAATAATTCCAGGCGCATTTGAAGGAACTTCAGAACACAAACCTTGTTGGTCAAAGGAGATGTTGGAACTTCTATATTCAACAAGCAACTTTTAGGAAAATTTCCCTTTTCAATATCTTTGATAGTTGCATTTATTAACGGTAAGCAGACAGTGACTGCGTCCTTAAAATCACTTTCTTGACTCTCATCCTTTTTCCTGTAATCATTGAATCTTTAGGAAAAAACTTATAAAGAAAAGGAAGAAGAAGAAGAAGAAGAAGAAGACCATACCATATGTTCAATAGTACAAAGAGTGGTAGCTTACCAGTTCAGCGATATGGATAAAGATGGTATACCGCAAATTAATGCTTCTCTAGCTCCAGCAATGACGCCAGAGTAAAACCTGCCAGAGTCTCAATTCAAACTTTTCACAACGAAACGACTCATTGTTTTCTGAAAGCCTACAGCATAGTTATACTTCGTCAATTCAGAAAATACAAGCAAATTATGCTTACATTTGATTGCCACAGCTTGAACCTCTATTGATTCCACTAATAACCTGAAACAAAAAAAAATGGTAAATCTTCAAACATGTCCAATATTAAAACCAAAGGACAGAATTACACTAGCAGCATCAGACACTAACCAATAAAGGCTTCGACCATGAAAAAAGCGCTCCAGATAATGCTAATGAGACACAATCCACAGGAGTTCCTGACCAAAAGTAAAATGCAAAAGGTATACTGCTATAAGCAAGCAGTTTCAACTTCAACACATTACTCGCATTCGGTACAAGCAAAATTTACAGATCCAATATCGATAAATAGAGTTCATGCTTTCGTTGCTTCCCATCCAGATGGAATATTGGAATACCAGAACATCAAAATTGGTTCGAAAGTAACAAACTAACCACAGCTCAGAGGTTAGCCAACTGAAAAGAAAATACTCGGATCTGGATGCGGCCACAATTATCACTTATGACTACATTTTTAGCACTTCATACATTCAGATTCACTAAAGTAAAAGCACCATAAATCATCGAAAGTCAAAAGCACAAGTAGCAGCCCCACCCGAAACTTCATAAGCCACGGCACCACTTATTTCGGCGGATGTCACGGCAACCGTTTCTGTAAGAGTCACAGAATGACCTGAGGCCGATTTGTCCCTAAACAATGCCAAACGAAACATTTAATAATCTCCCACAAAAAAAAAACATTTAACAATCACTAATAGAAACTGAAAACAACGCACCAAAGCATCCTCCCACGGTCAAATCTAATACAAGAGAACCGAACGGAAAGGAGGAAGCAAATATCGCCGCTCAATTGAAGAAGTGCGAAGAAAACTGAGCAAATTCAGATAATGACGAGGGAAAAAAAGTCATTTTTAACAACCACTGCGCTGATTGAAATCAGTATCGCAAGCATACTTGTAAGGAATGTCGTAACAGAACGGCCAAACATGCAGAATCTCAGTACTCAATCGCAGAAGACAAGAATATCCCAAACAGAGACGATGCGGCTGAAGAATTCAGGCAATAATAGAAACAACCGAAGCAAGCGTAACCGAAATGCGAAGCGAAGCCGCGATCAAGCAACATCACACGCCAATCCGAAAGTAGAGCAACATCACCGGGATGAGGACGAGCAACAAAGCCGCGAGAAATTCCAAACGGCTAGCGAGCGAGGCTTACGATTGAGGAGCGCAGACGTGGACATTGCAGAGGCCTTCGCGGACGAGAGCTTCGACGAGGCGAGCGAGGCCGGGGGACTCGATTCCGTCGCTGCTGGTGACGAGGACGATCGGCTTCGAGCAATCCTCGGCGCCGGGGGCGGCGTCCGAGGTGGAGGGCTCGATCGGCGGCTCGGCGGCGGCGGCGGCGGCGGGGGGATCGCCGGAGCCGTCGTCCTTGCGGCGGGCGAGGACCTGCTGGAGGTTGGAGACGAGGCCGGGGGGCAGGCGGTTATCCTTTACGGACGCCATGGCAACGAGGGACGGATTCGGATTCTCAGCAGTAGAGAGAGAGAGAGAGAGAGAGAGCTCGGCGATGCGAAGAGGGGGAGGATGATTGATGATGGACCCGATTCTAAGGGCGTTATGCAGAGAGAGAGAGAGAGAGAGAGTGAAAAGCCTACCCCTGTAGAGAGAGAAAAGTCTAATGGCTCGGGTTTAGAGAGAGAGAGAGAGAGAGTGGGATAGCGGGGACACCACCCTTTTTGCTCGAAGGTCCTCGACTCCTGTACAAATTAGCAATGTCCAAAAATAATTTCCTATCAATTTGATGGCCGGATCCTTCATTTTTGTTCGATTTGATCCTTGAACCAATTTAGCCATTCATCAAATGCGTCAATCCGACCTAGCCGTGAGATATGTATCTTTCAATGTGCGTGTACACCTCTCTCGCCCTCTCCCTTTTTCTCTCTCTCTCTCTCTATGCTTTTCTTTCGAAAATCTCTGCTGATGATTAGCGATTGTGTCAACAGCTATACTCGAGTTGAATTGGTATGGCAAATGTCGGGCGGATAAAATTAGGAATTCGATGATAAAATTGAACAGTGGTTAAGAGCATTGTGAGTGCTTTTTTACATTGCCTTAATTTTTTTAAAAGCATAGTTTTATGGATGAACCGTATCAAAAGTCGCCTGCCGGAACTCTCAAATTGCGCTCTTATGTGAATTTAAGACCTCATCGCACAGAGATTGTGTGCTTCTATCTATCCAAATAAACCGTGTGCTTCTGTCTATCTAAATAAACCATCATGTGTACATTGGCGTTTATGTGAGAGCCATCGAGTACCAAACAACTTTTATCGTAGAATCTCGTAAATTTACAGCTCATATGGAGAAGCACCGATCTAACCAAAACAAAAAGGAGAAGCACGGTCAATCGCAAATATGGATTTGAGGAGTCAAGCGAAATATTATCAAATTTGATTTATAAATAAAAATTCCTCTTTTGGAAAATGAATCTAGCGAGTTCAAATTTTGAAGAGATTAATAAAAGAAGGACGTGACCATCATAAAAGGAGGATATACTGTATCGATTAAGGAAAATCAATACATTAATGATCTGACTAAGGAATACGGTGGTTTCGATGTAAATTAAATGGTTAATATCCCAAAGAACTCAAAATTGGTATCAAATTTACCAAGAACATCCCAAACTTGCACGCTCGCGATAAATTTTACCCTCTATTAGTATCTGTTAAATTTTACCGTCAAATTTTTAAGTTGGATGACACGTGGTAATTAACGGTTATACCGATTTAAAGTTTTATCTTCCGTTTATGACAGTCTGACGAGTTTGTAATATGTATTATCAAATTTAACATAAAACCAACGGATAATAAATTTATCATAAATTTATCAGTTTTGAGCTTTAGGTAGTCAAATTAGTTATTAGTAAATTTGTCATAAGTATATAAATTTTGAATTTTTCGTAATATTAATCTTAAATAAAACGGAAAAGTGGTTTGTTTAATCGAGAGGGATTCTGCTTAAACAGGACGCACGTCCTCTAGCGCGTGGACCGTACGATTCCTGGGCCCCCCAACCCCCGTGGTCATTAGCCCCCGCCACGTGACCGGTCTCTTGCTCGGATATTGTCTGACAGCTTTCCCCCTTAATCCCTGCCGTAATTTCTAATCTAACAAGGCGGTGATGGGAAAATGCTCCCCCCCGGGAGGCCCCAGGGGCCGGGACACGTGGCGGACCGTCACTGGCCGACGAGGGGCTGTCCCCCGTGATTTTTGTCTTGGGGAGGCGCGAATTTCTTTAATTGCGTTTGTCCGCTGTGGTGTCGCGGCCCGCTAGATTTCCTTCCTGGCCGTTGGATTGGATTGGATTTCAACGTCAAAGGGATGGGCCCCACCATACTCTCGCCTTACAGGAAAAGGTTTGGGGCACGTTCATTCGTTATATTTAAAGAGATAATAACACAAAAAATCCATAAATTTTAAATCTAATATGTTATTTAATTACTGAATTTTTAATTTGTTCAATATAGTTTCTGAACTTTAACCCAATGTGTATGGGTCCCTGAACTTTTAATTTGTTCAGCGTCATTCTTGAACATTTGGTACATGTTCAATTTAATCCCTGAACTGAATGAAAATATTTAATGTACATTGAACAAATTAAAAGTTGATGATCCACATTACACATTGGGCTAAAGTTCAGGGACTACGTTGCACAAATTAAAAGTTCATGGACCACACTGCACGTTGGACTAAATTTCAGGGACTTTTGTGTCTTAATTCACTGTCGTTTTAGATAATATATTATAATAGTTTAAAAAATATTTTCCTAAAAATAATAGTTTATGTCACTTGAAGTAATTAGTCAACAAAATTGGGAGAATGACATATTGGGCTAAAGTTTAAGGACTATATTGAACAAATTAAAAGTTCAGGGAATAGATTGCACATTGAACTAAAGTTCAAAAACTATTGTGTCATTTTCTTAATTTTAAAAGCTTAATTCACTGTCATTTTAGATAATATATTATAATAATTTTAAAAAAAAATTTCTAAAAATAATCGTTTATGTCACTTGAAATAATTAATCAACAAAATTCATTACTGATAACAATTTATGTCTGAATATTTCCACTTACGATGAAAATAATCGTTCGTTAATTTTATAAGCGACACAAGCAACCATTCTTCAAAAAAATATTTTCTAAATCATTCATATTAACATAATTGCGATTGAATTTCTTCCATTCTTTTTTCAGGGCATATGAGGCAAAATCATGAACAAGATGGCTGGATACAGATGAGATGTGGGTCTAGCTTTTACCGAGATTGAGTAATGTAATGCCCTCCAATTATTCATTTACACCTTTTATGGTGAGGCCGGGCCCAATGTGTCTGACCAAAGTTGCTCCCTTCACGTTCTCTTCCGGATTGGAATTGAAGTTGCATGCAAATTTATTCCCATAACGTGGACTCCACAAGTTGTAGATTGGTTTGATTATGGAAATTAGAAAGGACTCTTTCTCGGACTTAATGCCCCTTAAAAAAAATATCCGAACCGAAATATCGACGACCCGAAAAAAAAAATTTGTTAATAGTTTCGGGGCATCGAATCCGTATGGTGCACCTAATAGTGATCTATGCACGCGGGCTTAATCATCGATTGTTGAATCGATTCCACAGGGTTAGATATCACGAGGAGGCGAGCCGGCAGTGTGTGAGCTCTCCTTTTGGCTTCCTTGCCGCGGTTGAGAGTTGGAAGTATCTGATCATGGGCGATCCATGATGAAGGAGGAATTAGCCAATGTGAAAGTTTATGAACTCCGAACGAAGCTAAAACTCGTTAAGAAATCAACCCACGATAAAAAAAAAGCGATGCAAAAATCGAAAACACGAGATTTTCGATCTCGCACATAGCGGTGAATGTCATTGTGATTTCGGTGCTTAGATGTTGCTAATCGAGAGAGGGACCACCTCAATCGATACTTCCAAATAGAGGCACACAAGTTACATGCAAATTTATTCCCATAACCAGAGATGTTGTTAAATGTCGTTCTTAAATTTTTAATCTGTTCAATGTGGTCTCTGAGCTTTAACTTTAACGTGCAATGTTATTCCTGAACTTTTAATTTGTTTGATATAATCTCTGGATTCTTGGTAAATATTCAATCTAATTACGCAGTTCAACATGCATTATTCTGTAAACATTTCAGCCTTTTTCCAAATGCTTCCTGCATGCGCGATTGCTTTCGGTACTATTGTGGGCGGTAATCATCTTTTGAATCAGTGGATAAGTGGAGCCGCCAAAATGCGCGGTTATCATCTTTTGAATCAGGAGATACGTGTTTCGCATTTATCTGATCGCTTTAATCTGGGTGATAAGAGTTTGATGAACAGGTAATATATTTCAAAGAAATAATAAAAGATAAGAAAGTCAAGGACATTTTTTTTATTTATAAATGGGAGGGTGGATACCAAATTCAATTTTTTTTCTCTATAATTAGATGTATTTATCACGAGCAATAAGAAAAAAATGAAAAACTAATCCAAATATTAGACTCGATTTTTTTGGGCCAGAAAGCATGAGCCTCGGTTCAACTGGATCTCGGGTCGAATTTACCCATACCCGTATCCACTCGGGAGGAATCAGCTCAAGCCCAGCCCAAGCTCCATATCTGCGTCCATCCTGATGTAGAGATCATTTATGAAGGTTGTTTTCGGTGGTGTCTTTGAGGGAATTACACAAATGGCAGGTCCCGAACTTTGACCCGACGTACATTGTCATTTTCGAATTTTTAATTTATTTAAGATAGTCCTTGAATTTCAGCTCAATATACAATGCCGTTGCTGCATTTTTTTTTTATCTATTCAATGTGACCTTTGAATTTTTGGTAAACGTTCAATTTATGGCACGGACTATATGAATATATCCAATGTTATCATTCTATTGATTCAAGTTTAGATACAACATCGAACGTTTTCATATAGTCCATGGATTAAATTAAAAATGTACAAAAAATTCAAGGATCGTATCAAACAGATTAAAAGTTCAAGGACATCACTGCACACTGGGTTAAAATTCATGGACGACATCGAATAAATTAAAAATTCGGGGGCAATATTGCACATTGGGTTAAAACTCATAAACCACGTCGAGCAAATTAAAAGTTCAAGAACGACATTGCATATCGAGTCAAAATTCAAGGACCTTTTGTGTCCTGTTTTTTTTCCGGACCAAAATAGAAAAACAGTTCTTCTTTTCCTCTTTCCAATTAATATCCTCGTTCTTCTTCGAAATTATAAATACCCAAAATGGCATTCAAATCATAACGCGTCATTTTCCAAATTTGTTTTTTTTTTCCTTTTTCCACTCACTTCGACACTTTTGGAAAGGCCCAGGATAATGACGTAGATTAAGGCGCCGTTCGTTTGGCGGAAAATATTCTTCCGGAAAATATTTTCGGGGTTTTCCGGTGTTCGGGGGGCGGAAAACGTTTTCCGTGGGAAAATATTTTCCTTCCCCCCTCACAAAATAGCCTAAGTCTACGGAAAATGACTTCCGCTTCTTCAAAAGCGGAAATCATTTTCCGGA